CATGCTTCCTGGAGAGGTTAGAGTATGTCTTGAATGTGCTACCTTGCAAGACGCCCATAGTGAGGTAGAGCCAGGGCAGACTGAGGTCCAGAGATGCCAGCAACATCCCGGAAGCAGCCAGCAGGCCTCCGACTATGATGACCGCTCTCTGAGAAAACAGTAAAGTCAGCACACTGGCCGCTGGAGCTGAGAAAACAACGAAAACAACACTATAAAAACATCTCAGGTTAAAAACCAACTATGGATTTGAAGCTGAAAACCCATATTTACCTCCGAGGTGAAACATGGCAATTGTGGTGGAGGTGACCCATGAGGTAGTGCTGGTCGGGACTCCAAAGTGTCTCTGGATGTCCAGGAAGAAGAGGCCGAAGTTCTTGAGGACGGCAGCGGTGAGGCCCATGGTGAAAAAGGCCGACATGACCACCACCCAGCCGTACCCCCCGTCGGGAGGTCCAGCTCGCTTCATCTTCCAGCCAGCTACTCTGCAGGCTGCTCTCCTGCCTCTGCTGAGTGGTTGTCAAGCGATAAAATGATAAACCTCGAGGCTAGGCTGGCCTTATGAAAATGAGCATGCAAAATACACATACAACATGAACTAGCAGCTGTAAAGAAACACACACTTTTTTAGTTTTCAATGTATGACAAAAAAGTTCTTCTTGAAAAAGGAGATTTAATGGCTCTGGCATTTTGTGAGATTGTCCTGACAGTGATCATGCAATCAAACACACCAGTTTATTAACTCCTTGTTTTTGAGGATTATTTTCTTTCTTCCATACATGTAAGATAAAAGAAAATATTACAATAACCAGTCCAATGGCAGCACCATAACGTGCAGCCTCGAAATGCTTCAATGTGGACGCTTTTTTCTTTTACAGACAACATATATGTGGCTTTGTGCTAGATTCTTTTGTTGACATTTCCACATTGAAATTAACAATTACATTGCAGGCCAAAGCACACACAGCCTGCCACAGCTCACTTTCTCTGCTGTCATGGGGGGGGTATATATTTCCTGGTCTGAGGTGAATTCAATTGGGCTGTCATGCTTCAGTGGTGATGGCAACAATAGAAATATCCTTCTTTTAAAGTGAATTAGTGATAAGTCACCCTAGTGCACAAATCATACACCAATACTAAGTTTACACATAAGCAATCAATCCCTGTCTCACTGGAATCAGTTGCCTTCAGTTTTTAATGAATTATTTCACTTCCTCCTGCAATTTATTTCCAAAAAATGCCTCAAAACATCTCAATATGCATCGCAATTGTCTAGAAAGACAGAAATCAGACATTTTAAAAAGGGATGTTGCGGCCCTTGGGTCTGTTATTGTAACTATTTTAGAGATCAACATTTCACAAATCGTGTTTTCAGGGGAGCTCATGTCTTATTAAGAGCAGCATGCTCCCCCCCTGGCCCCCCCCTGCAGTTGTCACCTTCTCACCTACAACACAACGGTTCCTTCAAATTAAGCTGACACAGAAGCATAATGAGCTGGGTAACTTGCGGAATTTAAGAAAGAAAAAGCTTTTTAAATTCCAAACCCACCTTGTTTCTGCTACTGTCCCACTCCCGGCGTCCTCGACATACGTTTTTGCTACAAGCTCCCTTCTCCTTTTGTGCTGCGGTGAAGTCGCGTCTGCTTTGCGGTGCGCTCCTATTCTACAGTTTAAGGTAATTTAGTCGTATTGAAGCAACAGGACAGAGGCGCCCTTTAGCGGGGATGTTTGCGGTATTATTGCGCCTGTTCTTCATCAATCAAACAAGAGCCATGTGCACACGACCCTTCACACTCGTTACAAGCAGCAGTGAGCTATTATCATCAGCCGTACGTTCAGGTTAAACGTCCTCCTCGGCTTTTATGGAGCTGCAGCAAAGCCGAAGCGCGCTCGACATCCGGATTTCAAAATAAAATGTCGAGATTGATGTCATTTTTATGCATTGTTCTGAATTATAACAGCGGGGGGTTAATCTCCATAAATGCCAGTGTATTTGGCTAAATTAAGCCTCTCACAAGGGAGAATAAACAAATGAAGAATTATGTAAAATTCAAGGCAAGGTTCCTTTGTAAATAGATCGGATTATCAGGTCGGTTTATAGCTGATTGTTAATCTATGGAAGATCATTTCCACTGGGGAAAAAACATGAAAATAAAATGTGACCACAGCCATCTCTCACACAGCCTATTCAGTCACAACAGTGTCTTAAATATTAAAATTCTTTGTACTTTTTTAGTATTTAGTTTTCATTTCAACCCCTGTTTTGTATTACTTGTACCAACACTGGGGTCTGAGACAAACTGCATTTCAACCCTCTATATGTCCTGTACATATGGCAGAGTGGACTTTGACTTTTGAGTTTACAATTTTTTATACTCTCCCTGTCCAGTGAAACAATGCATCTCAAAATCTGTTGTTTTCCAGTGTTTTTGATAAGCGGAAGGAGTCATTATTCCTTCAAATAAATGAATTAAAAGCCCTCTTGGATAAGCTAAGAAAAAGTGTGGTTCTCACAGGCCAGCAACGCTACGGACATATGATCTTATAGAGTATGATGCACTGCTGAAGATTAAACCAACCGTATATATAAAGTTGGTAAAAATGAGCTCAACCTTAAACATTTGCAGCCGTAAAATGCAACATACACATTAATGATTAAAAGTAAGCTTTTAACACTTTCTTCCTGTAAAGTTAATCAGCTGTTGAAGTTCCAGTTGAATCCAGTTGGCTCTAGAAACTTTCATGAGGGAAGAGGCACACACACAACTTGTCAACATTACAGGTATCTTAAATGTGTAGTACGTTACATTCACCCTGTATCTTTTACACCTTTCTACCTTTTCTAATCTTAATCTGTAAAATGAAGCCGTCTCATATGCTTCAGAATTTAACATATATTGAGAAACTCGAAGAAAATGTGTTTCTAATTATGACAAATTTTGTACATTGTGTCCTTTGTGATTCTTCTCCTTCCCCTAAAAACTGTATGTCAACTATTGATTAGTTGGCGACCCATGTACGGAGTTCTGCCCCGCGGTTTGAATTCGACTCTGTTCGGGCCCTTTCTGCGTGCTGCATCCCTGTCCCTCTCTTTCTGCCTCCTCCGCTTTCCTGTCAACCTTCAGCTTTCACTATCCAATAAAGGCAATAAAAGGCCAAAACCTAACTTAAAAAAGAAGTTGCTTGCAGATATGATGTTGAATTAAATTGTTCTTTAATTTTCACACCACCTCTCACAATGAAAACATAAAACAATAACAGATTTTTAAATCACCTTTGTACTTCATTTACATCTTGCTGGCAGTTCAAATATAGTATTTACTATATTTTCATTTTATAAAATTATAAAATTTTTCTGGACATATGTACACAAGTATACCGTAGGTATATACACATACATAGAAAACACTAAGCTCTATAAGTCCATTTGTCTTCAGATGAGGGGAAAAGAGGGATGCATGAGCTAGCCCTGCTAGCTGTTTGTATGGACATGATACTCTCTTTTTCTCTCACATACACATACACAGACGCACACACAGACGCACACACATACGCACACACATACGCACACACATACGCACACACATACGCACACACATACGCACACACACACACACACACACATAACTTGTCTGACACAAGCATCTCTAGCTTTAGGCCTGGCAATACTACTCAGTCTTCAAAAACTCTTGAACTCTAACCAGGATGTTTGACCGAACAGCAACATTAACTTCAGCAGCTCCTTGAATCCAAGCCTCCATTTCCATCCTGCTGCTGGCCACTAAGCCGCTCCACTTTAGAAATGGGGGTTGAGTGCCTTGCTTAAAAGGCACCTTGGCAGTAGTTTTTGAGCTGGTCCTAGTTTCAAACCACCACCCTTCCAGCCACAAGCTGCTCTGCCACACGCTGGCACTCAGCAGGAGAAGGACCTTGCTTCGACCTTTGTCCTTTTGCCACAAACAAGGCAACAATGTTAAGAGCGGCTCGGCTGAAGAGGAGCACGGCACTTTGGGTGATTTTTGACTTTAAAACTCCTTACTGTCCCTGAACAGGTCGATACGCAGAGCGAGCTCCTTGAAAGAAGGACGCAGGCCGGGGTCGTTGCTCCAGCACTCCTCCATGATCTCTTGTATCTGAGAGGGAGAGCAGGGAAGAAAGTCATTATTGGTGGATGAATTCCTGAGACGAGCAAACAACAAGACTTTACGGGTCAGTCCTTCCTGATAGCAATGATAGGTATTTATTTTTTTAGTCGGCTACGACCACATGTGCTCACAACACACAAAATCAATCATAGAGAGAACTGTCAACTTGCTCCACTCTGAGCTCTGTGTGTGCGTGAAAGTGCAGGAGCAGCTCGGAGGAGAAGAGCAGTAGAGATCCGACGCAACCACACTCAAGCAAGTGGTATAAAAGAATCGCACACAAAAAGACAATAAGAGTAATAAAGTAACTCAGGCAAAGGCTGCAACAATGCACCAAACAGTGGAGAGAGAAACTTCCCCCCAGACAGTGACGAGGCAAAACGATGATACTTTATTATGTAAAAAAACAAAACAAAACAACAAACAGTGCATTGATGCAATTTAACAATGCAATTTGATTTCAGTAACTTTAATGTACTTGAAATGTATTTTCTACAAAAAATACAAGTATCCAATTGGGACTCGGTATCGGCAGATACGCATTAGTAAGTGACTCAGATGGGATCGGGGGCTCTGGTGATTCCCACCCCTTATATGCATGTGTCCATGTATTGTGCATGATCAGAAAGGAAACGGCAATCCATGTTCCTACCTCTGTGGGGCATCCCAGAGGTTCAGGCAGCCTGCTGCCTGATTTGAGGAGCTCAATGAGGTGATAGACAATCAACTGTCCCTGCTTGTCATTTCCCATCATAGACATAAAAACCTGAGGAGGAGAACGGTGACAGTCAAGACAAAGACACACTTAAATTATATTTGATTTACAGAAAACAAGAAGATCCTTCCAGATTATAACAAAGGTTTCGAATCTGAACAGGTGAATGTACAGTACGTGATGTCCTGACAACTTGAGCAATAAATCTGTTGTGACTGAGAAAAAACAAACGTGGAGCAACCTGAACAGAGAAATGTAAAAACTGTCCACCACAGTCTGATCTACACTGACACACAGTTGTTAGCTGTCATGAGGTATTCAGCAAGGAAGAGGTGGCCTCTTTTTAAAGCATGAATGTACACACATGGAGGCATGATGGTTCAGATAGAGGAGGGAAGAATGAGCCTTCTCTCCTGGAGCAATAAAATGTCAAGGCTGTTTGTTCTTTTTCATCAATCACTTTACAGACAGATGGGAAGGTACTTTCTTGTGGTCGATTTATTTATTCACTTTGCAGTTTTTTTACAGGTCTGTTCCTGTCTTTAGAAATGACATACAGCTAGTGTGTTTTGAAAGAATCAAACAGGGAAGCTGCCTCAATGTATTTCTCTCGAGAGCTGTGCCACCCAGTTGCACTAAATTCCCATTTTTAAAGAATTTTTGACTCCATAAGAGGCGTCCCGTGGCGTCTATAGGTAAGTATGGCTCATTCTGAGGTAATGGAAAACACAACAATTCCTATATTCAGGTGATTATACACTAATGAAAACATACCTAGAAATATTATGTTCCATTTCTGCCAATAGATCCTCCTGAATGTTACACACTGGACCTTAGGAATTGTTGTGTTTTTACAGTGAGAATAAATGGAGTCAGTGGAGTCATCCGTGAGAGTGTGTGTTGCCACTTACTGCAGGAGGGCTGCTGTTCTTGTCACTGTGTGTGAAGAGCTCATAGAGCACCACGCCGAAGCTCCAGACATCTGACGCCACAGAGAACTTGCTCTCAGTCAACGACTCAGGGGCATACCTACAAAATAACACACTGTGTGACTGACTGTTTACAAATCAACTTCATCATTAAGACAGGCAACCCGGTTTTTACTGGGATAAAAACAGGATTAATGTTCATGAATTATGTGTTAGCTACAAGCTTTTTCTTTTTTTTTTTTTTAGGTGCACAATTTCTTAAATAAAATCACACTTCATCAAACGCAGCTCTCTGTACAGCATCATGAGGAGGATGAAGAGAACAAAAACACTACATAAAATGAGAACAACAGAAGTCTGACCAGAATATGGGACTCTCTCCTGGCTCTTTGACCATGTAGTACTCTTTGTCCTGAGGCAGAACTTTAGTGAGGCCGAAATCTCCGATCTTCACCCTCAGCTCACTCTCCACGAGGATATTTCGTGTTGCCAGGTCTCTGTGGATATACCTCTTACTTGACAGGTACTCCATACCCTGCGGACACAGAAAAAATTATATTTTTTGGCACCTCTTGCTCCAGTGGTCACCATATGACAAAACTGGACAAAGGGAAGTACCTTGCAGATCTGAGAAGTGTAATGCACAAGCTTCTTGTGGTCGATCCTGTCTTTGTTTTTCATGAGGTAATCTCGCAGACTTCCATACGGCAGATATTCCATTATGAGGCGGAGATTTCGTCGTCCTGAGAGGAGCAAAAAAGAAACTGTGTCATCCAATAGGACCTTGCAGTGTAAGTGTACTGTCCTTATTGACCCATAAAAAGGCTGATAGTGAGACAGAGCAATTGTACATTTCAAAATAGTGTGTTTATCATTAAGTAGGAATGGATACAATGATGCTATCATTTTGTGGACGTCCATCAACAACCAAAGACAAAAAAATTACGTTATGCAAATTGGCAAAGCTAAAACTGAAGTAATATTTATTTGGTGAGAATCAGTAATTCTGATTCTCACTAAAACTACACTAAAATATACTGCATTTACTGTTCAATACAGCTGGTTTACAGTAAGTACGGTTACAGTAAATGCACAGATAAGTTAAAAAAGAGTTTTGTGCAAATTTGTTGACCAAAGTCTTTTTTTGCTCATCACTGAAACAAACATATACAGTATGTAGGTGTCGAGAGTTTAAACTGTAAATCTATACAGAGAGGTGTAGAGGTTGTGTGTGTGCAGTCTGGAAATTCTCCTCCCAAATCATGGAACGTTTTCAGTTCTTAAACATTAACAGGTCAACTGTACCTGCACTGTAGCAAACGCCTTTGTACTTGACAATGTTCTCGTGCTGCAGAGATTTCAGGATCTCGATCTCTCGCTCAAAGTCTCGTATGTGCTCGGCAGTGCTGTGCTGGAGTTTCTTCACGGCCACGACCTCTCCAGTGTTGTCCTGAAGCGGGTCATACCGACACATCTCCACGCTGCCAAAGTTTCCCTTAAAGAGAAGACCAACTGACGTGAGCCGTTATTTTACAGCAGAGAGAGAGGCAGAAGGTTTTGCATTATGTATGTTCAAAATGCCTACTGCAGCTTTAACTGAAATAAAAAATGAAACCAATCTGCTTCAAAAAACTCTGCCTGAGTTTAGGGTTCAATCCCTTCTGAGGAAATGCATGCTAAAAATATATTAACCTTATACTTTCTAAAAAGAAACCATCTCGCAATGGAAGAACCATACTGAAAAAGACTTATTAGTATGGGTCATTTTCCTTAAAAGCACAATTTCTACACTTCCTCGTACCTTGCCCAGCTGCTGTAAGAATATGAGGTGTCTCTCTTCAAACTGGGCTGGCTCCTGACTCTCAAAACCCCCAGTCGACCAGCCAGTGGCCACTGTCCGGTTTGGCAGGATGTCACTGTCCACGATCAACTCATAGTCTGGGGACACAAAGACAAAAATCATGTAAATTCAAGATATAAAAAGGACAGCTCAGCAATGTAGTAAATCCACATCTACTGAGCAGACAGACAGACAGACAGATAGATAGATACTTTATTTATCCCGAAATTTCTAGCACTGGTACCTTTGGTCCCAAAGCTAGTCTAATCATGTCTCTGCACTAATCAAATTGATACAGATTTTCTGATCTAACTTTTAGAAAACACTCTTAAAATGCTGAAGCATTCCCTAAACATTATCCCTACTCCATTCCTCACCTCATTCCAATTAGCAGCTAAGGATGACCTAATGAAGACAGGAGCTGAGACTCTGTTTTCACTGACATGTTCCTGAAGACAACATGATAAATGTGTCTGTGGTCTGGGGGTGTGTGTCTGAAGACATTTGAGATTCCAAACTGGTGTGACCTAGATTCCCTGTTGGGACACCATTAGGGACACTTTGGTGGGCCGGCTGACGATCAGTAAACACCAACCTGGTGTGAACAGGCTGTGGAGGTCACGGATAATGGCACGAAACGTGGGCCTGAACGTGGGCTCGTAGTCCATGCAGCTGGTGATCAGATTAGCCAGTTCGGTCCACTTTGGTGCAGGGAGCTGGTGGTGGTCCTCGTAGAACAGGATTTTCTGTGAGACCAAATTAAGGGTTAGTATAATATATAGATGATGGATAATGGACACACTGCTTATAAAGTATCTAAATGAATAATGTTACTGTGGGGGTAATTGAACGGTCTCTATTTTATGTTCCAAAGTAGTAAAGGGAAAAGGATGAGAAGAATTCAGTACACAAGTTGTGTCATGAAAAGACTTTATGTAGACTATATGACACACCCTGTGTTTCCACCCACAGCTCGCATCTTGTACTGAACTAAAAAACACTCTTGTTATTCTATATATTGAAACGGTATGTATTTTAGGCCATACCGCCCATCCATACCTTAGAGTTGTCCAGTGATGCTAAAGGTTTCTCCCCACCACTGCAGATCTCCCATAATGTGGTGCCAAAGCTCCACTTGTCTGCAGCCAGGCTCAGGTTGGCAGGGTCCTCGATACTCTCAGGGGGCACCCAAGGGATCCTCTCAATCAGGACTATCACACACAAAAACATTTAAGCCACAATTGTTAATTGTTCAATTAAAGCACTGACATTTTCAACATTTTAATGAATCACTTAATTCAGTTTGATTTTATGCGCTATTTGAATGCATTCCTCTGAACATTGCACCTGATCTGCAACCAGCTTTTCTGTAACTAAGCACCACAGAAAAGTAATCCAGTGCATTGTGGATTTAAGAAGGTACCATCTCATTGCAATCACATCCTTGTGCTGCCCCCTGCTGATTACAGATGTGTATTACAGTTAATCGAGGCTAGACATAAACTCACTTTCTTTTGGCAGGACAGTGATGCTGATGCCAGGGTCACTCAGTTTGATGAAGGGGGGGTTCCCAGCTCTCCGGTCATCCTCTCTGATCAAAAGAACGTTTTTTGCGCAGACATTCCCGTGGACAAGATGCTTTTCTTCCTGCAGGTTCAGAAAGGGATTGATTAATCAGTCTCTTACCAACACAGAGAAAACCATTAGTCAATCACATTGATTGACTGAATCAATTTGTCCACCAAATTAAATGCAATAACTTTTGCAGCAGCTGTAAGAACTACAACTGTGAGCAGCACACAAATTGATTTTCATCAATACTTTGTCACACTATACACAGATTCCTACCAGGAAGTTCATGGCCCAGGCCAGCTGCTTAGCCACCTCCAGCTTCCACAGGATGTTTATCGAGTTCTTGTTCTTCTTCAGGTAGGTGTCCAGCGAGCCGAACTTCACATACTCCTGCACCATGATATCTGAAAGAAAACATTTGTTTTTATAATTCTTATGAGCCGCAAAAAAATGATATGGTTTATTTTTTACATAATTTAAGTATTCATTTATTTGGCAGTACCTACTATTACTCGACTTGCCTCAATCAATATTGATTAGCTGAATTGTTTGTTTCACAGTGTTTTTCACTTCAGTTGAGTGAAAGAGTGAAGAGAGAAAAATGTTGTGGTATGCTCGGTTGATTATATTTAAATTAAAAAAACCTCCGAAACCTCTACAATGGATTTCTCACTGTAAAATAAACACTGGGATGTTTATTCTCGAGGCCAAAGATAGCTGTAAAATATTCCTGAAAACGACAGCAGCTTATAGAGTTACCAAGTAAGCACACAGGAACTCAACAAAGATATATGAATAATACATTACCCCCCCAAAAAAATAAGATTAAGCAGAGCTACACCTAACTTCACCCCCCCCTGCTTGAGAACATGAAAAAAAAAATTCAGCAATGAAATAATTTGTCTCTCTCTCTGAATAGAGAATACACTCAGTAAAAATTAATATTCTCCCAAAATTCTTGTATCCATTTCTTTGCTTGCCTCAAAAATATTTTTCCAATCTATCGATGATGCTGTCTGTACAGTTATCTGATCGGGTAAGAAACTATGGACGACGTCGGGCTGCAAACATTCAGATCATTTTATGATTTAATGATCATTATTATGGTGATACCCTTTTCAATTTTAACAACTTGTATAAGAAATATAAATGTAAATAAATATATATATAATTACTATTAATAGTGTTTAGACAATTTCAAATCCACCACATTGTAAAGAAGTTTCTTATGAATCCCCAACTGAGAACATTTGGGAAAAACTATAGAAAATATACCCAACTCAAAAGGGACAGATCTCAGCCTCTGAAACAAGACTTAATGGGAGGGCAAACTGGGATAGACTCACATAAGACCTGTGGGAGGGAGCATTGCTGAGGGTGAATTCCTCATCTTTATGTGCTAGATTTAATCTTGTCTAATCAGTTCAAAGTTGTCTATAGGATACACTAAAAGTAGACTAGCAGAGATATATCCTGATCTTGATCCAAAATGTAACCAGTGATGTACAGTCAGTCCTATAACATGTTGTGGGTGTTTGTATTAGAGCGTACACGTTTTTCTTCTCACTGTAGGGACAAATGAGGACACACACTTTTCTTACAGCATGACAGATTGAGTGTCTCTCTAAGGCTGACTTACTTTCTTCTCCGCAGACACACACGCCATAGTTAAGGATCAGGTGCTTATGGGACAACTGGGTCATCATGCTGGCAGCTTCAAAAAAAGACTGTAGGATCAGACAAGACAGATAGAAGAGAAGAAGATAGAAAATGAAATTATTCATGTGGCCATGAGAGACAAAAAGGTACACAAGTGTAGTGTATCATTTTCATTTTCAGTTAAAGTCCCTGTAAACTAAATGTTTTGCACAGCTTTAAAGCCACACACCTCAGAGTAATTCCTGTGGGCCTGGTCCAGGACTTTCATAACTACTTCGGTCTGGTGCACGAGTCCATAGTCTCCCAGCTCCTTGCGGACCCCTTTGAAGATCTTGGTAAATGTCCCTTGACCTAGACTCTCCATCTGTAAGGAAGACAATTGCTGCGGTTTTAATTCTAAAACCACAAAATTCTGTACACTGGACAGATGAGGAAATATGATACTCCTGAACATGCAAACTAGGCTTACAAATTCCAGATCTTCTTTCCTGATCTTGTGAAACACCATTTGGCTGATGTTGTGTCGATGTAGTGACGGAGATAGAGGCACTTCGGAGCCCTTGTTACTCCTGCATATGAGGAGGCATGACTTTTCTGTTGGTGGAGAGAAAAGAAAACCATCTTATGGAAAACCAAAAAAGCCAAACGAAAAAGATTTATAGTTTACTAAGTTGACCAACTGACAGAGAAACTTCAGAAATGTGAGGCAGAAAAAAAAGTATGCAACATGTTGAAACTGTCTTTCATCATCAACTTCTGTGGAAATGGATCAACCGTGTGATAAAAATTCCTTACTCATACCAGTTCTTGTTCAATTACGAAAATACAAAGACTGAGACACCGTTGAGTCATCCTTGTTGTTGGTTTGTACATCTGCAGACGCCAGCTTGATCAGCTCAATTACTGAGCTTATAAATGGGTCAAAGATCCCAATACACACATATGTGACAGAGAGGCCCAGTGTTTAAACTAATAACCCAAATTCTTATGAAATCACTGGATAAATAAGGATAAAAAGGGGCATTTCCCTCTTAGGATATGAAAAATTTCCATTCATCACTTCTGTAATTCACACTGTTAACAGCCCAAAATCGCTTTCTCAACTCCTCTTTGGTCCCTGCAATACGTGCACTGTGCCTACTTTAATCATACTGTCATTAATCCAACAGGATATAATGGTTTGATTTATATAGACTGTAGCACACACACAGCCTTTGCTAATGTTTACTAATCGCTCAAACTGAATATCGATCAGGAGTCTGTTAGTTTTACCTTTGGCTTTAGGTGGACAGCACTTGCTGAATTGGAAAATGACGCTGTCAGAGCGCACAGTTTCCTTTTGGTAGCAGCTGAGTAGTTCCTGCAAGCTGCTGAAGTTTCTTTTGGTTCCGCTGAGGTTAAACTCCCCGCTGGTAGACCTAGTTACCTGGCAGTGCTTATATTCCACGGCATCATACACCTAGACAGAAAGAGGAGAGGATAGGCAAACAGTTAGAGTTTCAGTCATGGAGTCAACAGTAATACAACACCACCTATTCTAGTTTTTATTGTGACACCAGTCCGGCTGGTTTAATTATACAATTATAACAATTGGAATAGCACCGGACTAAACAAACTCCAGCCTCTGTTGCTGTAGGCATGTTGCTATGTTATAGGTTAGATGAAATACAAACCAAAGAGTCTAGTTTGAAGGCTTCTGAAGGCAGTTTATGGTCCTTTGTCACAGGATTGTACAAATGAACACTAATGCAATGCTTTATGGCACAGTGACTCACTTTTTCATTTAAAATTTCTCTGTTGGCATCATTCAACTGAGGGTGTGTTTTCAGACAGTGCTATTGTCAGTCTGAGCGTGGCCATAGTAGTTTGTCTCATACATTAAAGATTACATTAAACATTGATGCATCTGAGAAGTTTGTCAGACTTGGTTAAATGAAAAAAATTATGGTATTGAAATTGAGATACAATATTGGCACCACCAACAGTACCCAGGCTAAATTCCACATAAACAAACAAATTTCCCCCCGGGGATCAAAAAAGTACTTCTGATTCTGATAACAAGAGCAAAACAACACAGCACAGGACAACTGATAAAACACCATAGTCCATAGTAAGCACACTTATAATAGATTTGGTCAAGACACAACAGGAGACATTTTACTGTATTTTAATGTTTAGTTTCCTTTAAGTAAACAATACACATGGTGGAATGTGCTAACTAACCAACCACAGGTGACTGTTACCTACCTCAACAGGGAAAGTTAGAAAATACTTGTTGAAGTCTTTAGGGCTACATCTCAAAATGTACAAGCCTTGCTTGTTTCCACACTTCTGAAGCCGGTTGATAGCAAACTCCATTCTGTAACAAAACAGGTAGTACAGTCAGACTGCATGTATCTTGGCAGAGAAACAGTATTACCTCCTAAAATAGGACATAAGTGACAACCACCTGAGAAAAGCTTGGCAGCAATTTTAAAATATATAACTGACCTACCATATTCTTCCTGCATAACATTTTTAGCAATTTTCATGGTTGCCGACACAGAGATGTCTGGTGGAAGTAGGAATGTGAATGGAAAATCAATTAAGCTTCGCTTTTCTTCACTTACGAGATGGGGCCATGGCAGTGGGAGGCGATGGCCTCCACAAGCCTAGGAGGAGCCACTTCTTTACACAGGTAGTGATGTGCGTCTGTAGTCAGCCGATAGTAGCCATCAATGAGGGACACAAAGGAGAGGGCTTCAGACAGGCTGGGGAACTCCAGCTCCTGAAATATACAAAAAAACACTGTTAGACATGATGTGTAAGTATCTACCATTCTACAACTATCACTAAACTGTGTTTCTCCTGTTGCATAGAAGGCAGGGATAGGAAACCAAATGCCATTAATGAATAATAAATGAATGAATAAGATGATGAATAAAAGTGCCAACAAAACCAGAACCAATAAAAACAATCCTTGAAGGAGGATGGGTAGATAGAGAGGCAGTGATCATGAGCCCCTGCCACTGTCACATTGCCTCCCCAGTAGATCAAAGGACAGAAAATGGCACTTGTCACCACCGACCGATAAAATATATGACATCCTGACAAACTGTGGTCGTCCTGTCAGGTCTGTATCTGTAATCCAGGCAGTGAACGAGGGACCCACTCCCATCTCTTGAGCTTGTCCCTAAATATGGGGGGTTAAATGGTGTTAAATGCACTTGAAACATTATACAACATAATCCTCTCATAACCACCTGGCTCATCCAGGTGAGAGCAGGCCCGGTGGAGCATGTAGAGGACAGTACCATTCACTCCACTGTGTTCCTGGAATGTAAACGGAGATTTTCTTTTGTGCGTGTTTGACATGTGGTCTCAGTATGCGGAGAAGTAGCCGCTCCAGGTCCAAGCTCCTCTTAATGATGTGTGATGTTAGGGCCACCGGTCTCTAGTCGTTAATCTTATCCGGCCGCCCTACTTTAGGAACAGGTACAAGGCATGATGTTTTCCACAGCAACGGGACCCTCCCAAATTATAGACTAAGGCTGAAGATTCTCCTCCTCACCTCCTCCAAACTGAAGGACAACAGAGGGGGGCCCAGGTGTGGGGGAGGTTGCAGCTATAGCACTGGGAGTTCCAAAGTGTAAAAGATATGGAGAAAAGGGAGTAGGAAAAGAAAAAGAGGCAGCAGCTGAAGTAGTGGGAGTGAGAACATGTGGGGCTGTAGAGGCATTGACTGCTGTGTCCCACTGGCCTTGTCCACACCCCACAATGTTTCCTGACTCTCTTATTTTTGTAGCCTGTGATGGTCCTCAATCCGCTCCACACCACTCTGATGTTGTTGTGCAGAGCTCCGTACACTGAAAGCAGTCCCTTAGAGACTTGCCAGCCTCCTGTGACCACTTCCTGAATGAGCGCATTGTTGCAGGCTGCCTCAGTACACAGGGTTTGTAGGAAGGCAGAAGAAAAAACAGATTGTGATCTGATCTGCCAAGTGGCGGTACAGCTAAAGCACTGTACGCCCCCTTCAAAACTGGCATATTACAGATCAAGTCCCCAAGTGGGACAGTCAACAAACTGAGCAAAGCTGGTCAGATGGGAAGTGAGGTTGACGTGATTAAAATCCTCTGATACTGTAATGAATGCATCAGGGTGTTTTGTCGGTATTCTTGCCACAACTTCATGGATGATGTCACAGGCCAATACAGCCCCCTGCACGCAGGGGGATGTAAACAACAATGACGGTGATGTGTGAGAACTACCTTGGTACACAGTAAGGTCTAAGACCTATTGCCAAAAGTTCCATATCCACCATCTATTGTTCACAAACAAAAGAAGTCCCCCACCTTTGTTCTTTCCCCTCTGTGGGCACTAACCATAGAGAGGCCGGATAGGTCCACACGGGAGTCTGCAATATTGTTGTTCAGCCAGGTCTTGGTGGAACACATGAGGCTATACTCAAGGTATGCTCTCTCTTTCTTCACAAGCCCTTCCAACTCCTTACTATTGTTAGGCAGAGAGTTGACATTTCCCATCAGAATCGATGGTGGAAAAGACTTAAATCTCTATCTCCTAGCCTTTAGCTTAGCACAAACTCTACATCCACGGTACGGCGGCCTCAGCTCAGCCGGGATAGGGGGTTTGTCTCCAGATCTGTTTCATTTCAATGCAAGGAGGTCATCCCATGTGTACACTACTTTATTTGAATTTGGGTTTATCATCTTTTGAAAACACAGAACACAGACACAGTTAATACAAACACCTATTATACTACGGAGCCACACAGATCTGCTGCCTCTCAGTATGGCACATGCACAGTCTAGATACAATTTACACCACCCAAAAAAAGCGAAATTACCAGATTCTTGCCATCTTGCTTGTTGATGGTGACAACCCGACTCTCTGCAGCACCCTCCTTGCTGGCCTGTTTGATGCTGATGTCAGTGACGTCGGGGAAGTCACACAAGGTCTGCAGCTCCTGGACAAACAGCGTAAGAAACGACTTTTGTAATAATATTGTCAGTGATGCCTCCAAAAGGGTCCAAAGAAAGAAAAACAACAAAGCTCACTGACAGCACTTTCAACACCAACCTGGTCAGAATCTTTCAGTTTTTCTCGACACCACTGGATGCCACTGTCCGCTGCTACCAGGATGATGAGCTGTCCGGTGGACGGTTCCTTAACCTGGAAGGTCTCTGTGAAGAAGGCCTTCTCCAGGGACTCCATGCTGATGAGGTACTTGAGCTTGAGGTCACGCGCTGTTGTCCGACACTGACTGAACTGCTGGATGAAGCGCTTGAAGCGGAAGCGGATTCGCTTGCGTGTTAAGAAGTTGCAGTCCTGGATCTGAGCTCTTATGTCTTTTGGCAAGAAGGACTTGTAACTAGAAGTAAGCAAGAGGGAACATTATTTTTTTTTAATGTACCAGGATAAATTGCATTGTCTTAAAGTTTGTATCTCTCGCACATTTAAAAAAAATATCCGCCACCATTATTTTTAGTGGCCGACGTCCTTAAAAATACGTCATTCGAACCATTTTTTGCTATTGCAAATATGCAAATATGCAATTTTGCTCATGAAACATTCAACAAAAAGACATGTACACAGTACTACAGATTCGAAGTTTGCCCAGTGAAGCTTCACACTGTCAAATAAAAAGAAAGTTTCGACTGACACTACATAAGTCACTGTATCTTGCAAACTTTAATATGTTTTGAGTGAAAAGAAAAAGAAAAAATACAGAAAATGAAAACCTGATAATCAAAAACTGTCAAGTTCTGAAAGCTGGCAGTGTCATTTTGTTGGTTAATTTTGTTTCTTATTCGCTAAGTTCAGACAATTTTTTTTAAGGCAAAGTTCTTGTAGAGCTGTTTTTGTTAGACATGAATGGGTTCCGAGACGTTTGGCTTGTTTTGGTAAACAAACAAACAAAAAGTTTTGCAGAAAAAGTGCTCATATTCATCAAACCTTTTTTGTATTAGTGCTGTAAATCAGCTTTGCACAGGCACCGATTAGACCATTACACTAGATAGTGCTAAGTAGGTGTTTATTTTAGATAATTCCTAAAGAATCAGATCAAAAGCAGCCTTTGTTTTTTCACTAGTACCTTATAGTGTGGTAGATGTCCAGCGGTGACATCTGTCTCTCCTTGGCTGTTCTTGTCATGTCGAGCACAGCCATACCGAGGCACTCTTCCTGAGTCTCATGGGAGTTGGGGATCTTCACCAAGCCATTGACAAAGTCATTCCTCCACTGCACACAGAGATGAGAGTAACACAGTCAAGTAGAGTATGTGTACAGCAGCCTTGTGCTCAGGTGTGAAGTGTATAAAAGTATACTGTGTGGGAGTGAGAGTTCAGTTTCAGGCTATGTTCACATTGCTATTCAAACCCTGGTGTGGACCAAACCACCTCACCAAGGCTGCATTAAAAGGCATCTCTCAGTCAGGTAAACTGTGGTGCAGACTGTTTGTGGAATCAGATAAAGTCAAATGCTATGCAAATGTATTTATCAGGGCCTCATCATGTCCCCATCCTTCCCCTTATTCTTTTTACCTCTTGTTATTTATGACAGATGCGAGATGAGAACAGTTTGGTGTTACATGACATGCTGTCAGTCCCTGGAACGTACATTCTTTTTCTTTTGTGCTACATGTCGGTCCATGTAGCACTGATGCAGGGTGACAGATTTCCCTAAATGACCAATGAATGTGCTTCCTTATAAGTCCGTCAGACGTCATGTTTGCAACCCCTGTTTTTATTGTAGTAAGTCAGTGTGAACACTAAACAGACCAGAACTACAAAATAACATCTTTTTTTTGTTTTTTTTGTTTTGGTCCGAATAAAGGGAACCAGCGTATGAGGGTGAACCGACCTGAGATGATAACCACTGAGAGATAGAGAGACCTGACAGAGAGCCACAATGTATTATTTAGCAATTTTCTTGGAAAACACAAGGACAAAGATTAGCTTTTGTTGTTGTCAACAACTTGTCAACTTGTCATCCTTTTCACTGTCGCCCCCCTCAGACAAAATCGAGACAGCCTGTATTTGTTCATATTCGGTGCAGTTTGTTTGGATTACATTAATACTGAATTAAACTGCGTAATGATTCTCAAGACTGTTCTGGAGTTGTAAGGAGTGTGTTCTTTATGACATCTAAGCAGATTTATGGACGCTCAGTTGCGTTGGACATCTGCGATAATGATATCTGCTCCTTTCACCTCACATCTCTTCTATGGGCTGATATTTGTGTC